AGTCATTCATAAAATATAATTTCGAATTTCTAGATACAGTTGACAGCAAATAAAGGAAAATACATCAATTTTTGTAGATGAATTTTCCATTTTTTTCTTTATATGCCTCCCTAGTTTTGAGCTAAATTAATAAAACTGCTTTGACCATATTATGGAAACAGAGTAGGTAGGAATTATTTTTTGGATTTAGGAAGGACAATGTGATTTTGTTAAGGGAAATGCATTTAAATACAGTGATTTTCTAACAAAATGGAGATCTCCCCTCTGAAATTTCATATGTTTGGTTCCTGTATGCATTTATGCTGCCTTGATTTTTTTAACTATATTTGAGAACAGTGATCTTCTAAGGATAGTAATCTTCATAAGCAAGTCCCATGAATAGCTTACTCATATGGAAAATTATTCAAGTCGAGTGAGTCTTATTTCCTGACAGTGATATGCCACTGGGGGTGGGTTGGGGAGGGCATTATCTTTTCTCTGGTACAAGTAAAATTCATTTTCAGATGCACCTTGGGGTGTTTTCTATCTAAAAGGGGTCCTTAGTGAGAGTTGTGGTAACGAGTACTGCTCTGTCTTAAGGTATCTGTTTTGTAAATTTATTTTTTTTTTCTAAACTGAACAACCGGTGTCATAAAATGACGCCAAAAGAAAGTTATGTGGACAGCTCTTTTATATTTGCTTTAACAGGCTCATCTGGAGTCCGGTCAAATTCAGCTGGTGGGAGAGTGAATAAAGCAAATTGCATCCTGGTGATTCAAGCTGATTTAGCTGCAAAGGCACCGTGGTTATGCAGCAGTCATTGCAAAGTCTCCATCTGTGGCTCGGGAATAACTCATGTTGTGGAGGTCGGGGTCTTTTTCAAAGTTTTCAGAATTACCTATGAAAAAGGAATAGGCAAGCACTGGATGGGAAAAGTGCAGACGGGCACCAATCACACATTTTGGCACTACCCAGCGCAACTGGACACAGACTCAGCTTGTGGAAAATAAAAGTTTATCTTATGTTTATCAACGGTGAACAGGCCAACGATTTTAGTACATCAAAAGAGAGTTGCTTTTCGTAAAAGATTTCACAAATAGATTGATGGGCCCCCTAGGGCTCTCAGAACCAAAATCGTTGTTTGAACTTTAAATTTATGCCTAACTTAAGAACCCATCTATCTCATGGCAAAGTGGTGGGCAAGAGAGATCAAAATGCAAGCAGAGATCCTAGAGTAAAGCAGTAGGAAAGTAGCAGTTCTATTATCATTTCCACGAGGTGATATTTAATTCTATTTCTACACCACATCTCTAGCATAATAATCAAATGGCAAATGACACGTGTTGCTCTAGATGCACCAGGAAATATAACTGGACTGTTTGTTATGATAAATGAAGCAAATTATAACAATTCCATAATGTTGAGGGTAGCGAGGCAGGTTTTAGAGCTCCATGTGTATATATGTAATAAATCATTCCTTTGAAAAGATAATTGCGGCACTGCTGAGAAGGGAGGGGGAAAAAAGCCCACTTTGAGAGCAATTATTTGAAAGCTCCTCAAATTAACTTGTGCACAGTTGGTTCTTTGTTACTGAGTGCACATTACGAAAAGTTGTTTCAGGTCGTTCGTTCACTTAGCTGAAGGAAATAAAGTAATTCTAGTTATTAATCACTTTAATTTTAAATTCACTTTGTAAAAGGAGAAGACATTAAACTGTAAGAACAACATGGAATGCACAAGTAACTAGATGCTTAATGGGCTCCTTTTGAAAAGTTTTAGGATAACACAATCAAAAAGCTTCAAGGATCTAGGAAAGCTGAGTGTATTCATGTAATGTGAGAAAGTTCTTTTTAATTTCACTGACCAATAATATCACAGAGGGGCTGAAATTAAGCCCGTCTCTCAAAAGCAATTTTAATAGATTATGCCGAGTGAAATCATTTTATGAGTCAATCTTCTCTGTAGTGCAATTTAGCGGTGCCTTCGTGAGGCACCATGAAATAGGATTTTCTATGATACTCCAATCCAGAATCCAAGCCAAAAAGTATAGCACTGTTTTGCAAATATCCTCCTGAGACAAGTGCAAGCCAGGATTTAGTTTTACTGACCATCAGTGCAACTGACTGGGCTGGAACCATCTGACACACTCGGTATGAACAAAACTTGCTCAAAATCACTCCTTACCACCAGAAGAGAAGCAGTTTTAAAAACTTCAAGCATTATTTTAAAGAATCCCCCAAACTATGAGACAGCAAGTGGGTTCTTGCAAATTTCCACTTCTAAAGTGGAATCTTAGGAATACAAACTGTTAGAACTCTGAACCAGTCAACAGAAAGGATATGCTGAATAGCAACTTTTCTTAGTCAACAAAACCAAGTGAACACTGACTACTTTGACTGTTGTAGTTTTCACTGTAGGCAGCCTATCTTCTATCCAAACTGCCTACTTCACAGACAAGGGGGTGTGTTTGCACAACTGAGTAAGGGAAGCAGGTTGTAAAATACAGAAGCAACTGAAGTTGAATCCAAGTGACTGTCTAATTATCTGTGTCTCCTTGGAAATATACTGTTTTTCAGTTTCTAATTGGGATTAATAATGTTCACATTTCATCCCACCTGGAGAAAACATGTATTGTCTCCATTAGCTGATATTCAGAGAAATTAGATGCATTTATCATTCCAAAGAGAATGTCTGACAATTACCTAGTCAGGCAGGATTAGAATGATGAAAGATAAATAAAGATCCTCCTCTTTCTATAGTCTAATAGAGCAAGTAGACACACCGGATCACAGGGGACACTTCAGGAAACTCGATGTGCAGAGGCTAAAGCTCGTGTGCCAAGTCAAAATGCCATCTTCTCGTGTACAAACCCCACCCCCGAGGACAGGGTGATGTCAGCATCAGAGAAAACTGGAATGCTCCTGCAGAGTCAGGTCATCCTGTGCTGGTCAGGACAGAAACACCACATGGCAACCCTGGGGAGCATCTTTTGCATCACCTCTCCGTGCAGGAAGCTCCTGACTTCCAGCATGTTTCAGGACAATTTGCCATAGAAAAGACTCACTTACAGAGGTTGCAAACATGTCTCTTAGTAACTCTAGTCTATTGACCTTGACTTTTGAAACAACTCATAAAAGTCTTGTTTGGTGTGACAGTTCATCCAGCATTTAAAGACGTTTACAAATATTTAAAGATGTGTTTACAAGGAAGCCATTTTGTTTGTCTTCTGTCTGCACTTCTCCAGGCTCAACACAAGTGTGTGTCCAGGTCTTCGCAAGCATGAATGATTTACAGCCAAAGGACAATGAATAGTCAGACCTCAAAATCTGGTTGACTGGCTGAGTATGAAGTCCTCACTTCCAATGCCCACTCACCTACTTCTACTAGAGCATCCTGAAAATGGGTTAGAGTGTACTTAGAGAATTTTTATCTAAACCTGTGAAACATTAACCAGCTTATACTGTATGCTATACATTTAACCATCGAGAAGTTCAGTTAAATAATTCATTCTTCCATCTAATTTAATCAATCTTCCATCCACTTAAATGAATCTTAGTGATCTTAATTCTGATTGCTAACTAATGTCAATAAATCCATCATCCCCATGCACTAAGTAGTGGATGTTTCTCCAAAAGTGTCTTGGGTGCCCATGCTATAAGCATCAAATTCTTTCCAACATTCTTTCACATGTGATAGTTCACTTTTAAAGATATGTGACAATCATATGCATTTTAAAATATTCTTTCAATTAGCAAAGGTCTTATATAACATAAAAGTTACACAGATTCACTATGGAACAATTAAGAAAATTCTCTGGAGCATCCTCGGTGGCCTGGGGGTTAAGTCTCAGCCCTATTAGCACTACAGCCAGAATTTGATCTGAGCTGAACCACAGATGGTGCAGCAGACCTCCTTTGCCTCATCCACCACTCCCCTTAGCAATGAATTTCAGTACATCTGCCTGTTCTGCTCCCCACTCTGTCTCTGATGAATCCTCATACTCCTGCACCTGCAGCCTACACCCAGTTCTCCTATGCAAAATAAATAAATAAATTTAGGTAACTGAGATTAATTTCTAAAACACAGACCATTTTAATAGAGATTAATCTGTATTTTGTATCATTATCTTAATCTATTCTATATTACAGACACATACTGGTTCTGGATACAGAACCCCAGATCACAAGTCTGAAGACATATGCTGTGCTTTGACATGGTTTTAGTTCAGTGAGATTCTTGGAGGCACTTTCTCTATTTCAATGCACACATATTTCCATGTTAATAATAACACCTTTGCCCTAAACATATTAGCAGGAAAGAGCAGCGACTGGGCATCCAAAATAACTGAAATAAAGTTTGGTCATCCTATGTGGGTACTAAACTAGCACTGGTGGACCCGAGTAGCCACAGACAAGCCACTCAACCTCTCTGGGCCTGACAGTCCTCTTACAGAGCGGATGATCTCTGAATGCCCCTGCTCACATACTTCTTGCCAAATAAACTGAGGGGAACACTCAGGCAGGTCACATTTGCCACACAATTTATCCGATTATCCAAGAAATGTGTACTCAGTCTAATATTTAATACATGAATACTCTGAGGTGGAGCCAACCATATTGAGATGAAAAAGCGAAGTCTGCACTCAATTATGGGTCAGCAAAGCAGCAGGACTGGCTGGTCCATGTGTGGTCCCATGTGCACACACACACGTGCATCCGAGCATGGCAGGAGACAACCAGGATGGGACACAGAGGACATCTCAATCTATGATGCTCACCTGTCAATTTCACTAAGAGAAGGAAGAAAAAGGAAGGAAAGTTCCCTACAGCTTAAATGTTAGTGGTGCTAATCCAGTAACTGCATGAAGCAACCACACTTCCTTCCTACATGAAGTGAGCAGGTGCAGGTTCACTCCATGACTCTCACCTGCTAGGCTAATGAATGATGTTTGGCAAAATACAGGTTTCCAAAGAGCAAAAAAAAACTGTTGATTTCACACCAATGAATGCAGTTAGCCTTACCTTGACAGTAAGTGTTGTTAACCCGCTTGAAACCTTGTAGACATTCCATCATTTGATTATACCCATGGTAAGCTGTAATGAAAGAAATAGTTGTTTGTTACTTATTCAAATTCTTCAAGTCCTAAAATACTAGATGTGATCACCAAAGTCATTTAGGGAAGTAGTGGGCTGACTTGTTCATCTCAAAGATACCAGTTCAATAGGCAGGAATTTCTATTGCAGTTGCCTTATTTTTCAGCCTACTTATTCTAAATAGGTAACAGTTCCAATAAATGGCCAGAAAATCTTTATGAGGGTGATTGAATGAATCATAAGATTACTATAGCTATTTTCCAATCAGCGAGTCATTACTTTTATCACAAAGGATCTATTCCTTCCGAATAACTTGTTTCAGGCATTTGCATTTTCTTGTCAGAGGTGTGGAGACAGTCTGGATAAGGCCTCTTGCTCCAGGAAAGCTCACAATGACCTCCATTTCATTCCTAGGTGACACTGGTCATTTAGCGAGGGCTTACCTTTGTCAGGCACTGTGGTAGGGCATTTGCATAAATGATCTCTAAAATCCATCCCAGCCCTGCCCTGCTCAGTAGATGTGAATTTCACAATAGTTGCCATTGGAAACCCAATAACTTGTCCCCTAAGGTTGGCTCTGTTATATGCTAATTTCCATATAGGCACAGGTGTGCTACCCAGGCACCTGGGAAGAACAGACATTGACAAGCAGGAACCAGGTAGTGGAAAGGCTGCTGTCACCACATCAAAATAATACAAGTGTTTATTCACCTAGTCATCCACAAGAACCTTACCATTGAGATTCTGACCATCTCAAATGTGACCTGAGCAACTTCTTGACATAGTAAATATAATGACCTAACTTTTGGGGCCCAAAGACCAAGGTTCAAACTTTGCCTCTATCAACAGAGCCAACTTTAGGGGACAAGTTACCTGGGTTTCCAATGGCAACTGTGGTGAAATTCACATCTACTGAGCAGGGCAGGGCTGGGATGGACTTTACAGGTCATTTATGCAAATACTCTGCCACAGTGTCTGACAAAGGTAAGCTCTGGCTAAATGACAGATGCCATTGCTATGTCCCACAGTGGATAATGTATTCTTTTATTAAGAAGATAATGACCCGTAAGAAGTCAAAATAGGATGTAATCAAGTCAGTGGTGGTTAGACCCCTGAAAAGGCCTGAGTAAGAAGAAAGGAAGACCGACAACCTAAAGGAAATTTTCTTTTGGTCACTAATTTTGCCCCTAATACTTGCCCTTTATTCTCACCACGGGGTGAATATTTACTAGTGGTATTCCTTTCCTCCTCCTCGTCTTCACCATAACTCCCCCTCTGTGGGTCTTAGACAATGTCTCAGAAACTACGGAGTGAGGAGTCTGGAAACTGAGTTAGGAAGAGGGCGAGGCTGCATAGGAAGCCGCCCACACAGGTCTCACCCCCACATAATAAGGACACTGGAGCAGGGTCCCACCAGAGGTTGGGGGAGTCACGGACAGCAAATGGCTCAAAGGCAAAAGAGACACTATGCTGGTCTAAAGTCTCAAGTTATCTCCCTCAGGACTGGGATTCAAACCAGATGAACTCCTATAGGCTTTCTCAGCTGCCAACTCCATGCCCATTTCCTCCTAAAAGCTTTTAAAAGACAAGGAACTTGTCATGCAAAGCGTATTTCTAATAGATTACAAATGATTTAATAAAATCACTTGCAGATTTAAAATTACATTGTCACAGTAAAAAATGATCAGCAATGAAAGGTCTTTTTTGTACGTGGTTAAACAAAAACTTCAGGCATTAAGTAAAACCATTTGAAAACTAAAGTTTGAAGTACGTTGAGGAAAAAAAGAGAGAGAGAAAGAAAGAAAGAGATGGGGAACATGAAACGAGAGCATACGAAGCCAAGTCAAGTGAAATCTGTTCTCCTCCAGAATGAGTTTGATTTAAAGAGTAGTACCAACTAAGGAAAGTTTTGAAATGACACAGGAAGACTATGACCCTGAGATTTCTTGGGCATGAGTTACTTCAGACGGCGCAGGCAGTGAATGTCAAGATGTGAACAGTTTACTTCATTCATAATCCACATTACTCTCCCTGAAGTGGAAGCAATCTCTTTAATTTCATATACTTAATGAGTTCACGCGTGAATTTATTTTCATCAACAATTCCTTAAAAGCAAAAGCACCTTTGTACTTTCACATTCTACTTAAATTATCAACAACACTGAAATAACTAACAAAACCATATAAAACAATGAATCCCCCCCCCCCCCGATGATGCAATTCTAGATAAAAATGATGAAAGGGCAGGAGGGGAAGTTAGGGATTTTTAAGAAAAAACTATGATCCCTCCCTACCCCCAACTTCTTTCTCTCCCTTGATACTTTAGGATTTGGAAACAAGGCTAGAGAAGCAGCTAACAGAAAAGATACAGAGAAGGGAGAAAAAGAAAAGAGGTAAGATGCAAACGTTTTAGAGAAACACAAAGACACAAAATTTTAAGAACCAGACTTCAGACTTCTCTTTCTTCTGACCTTAAGCCTAGCAGTGGGACCCCCCACTCACCCCTCCCCAATATTGCTGGTGAATGCCAGAAAGGCGTTAAAGAAGAAAAATAATGTTCTCCCAACAGCTTAGCTAGACTCATGTTTCATGATCTAAAAGCTTCAACAGCAAGTAACAAGAGTCAGATGTCAAACTCAGGTCTACTGAACTTCAAAATTCATGTTCTTTAAATCACACACCACACATCTCCTAGATAATGCTTTGGTCATGTTCCCAGGGATAATTTGAGGCCAATGTGTCATCCAGTGAGAAGAGACCACCACGCTCACTCCACTTGCTGGAAAAGCACATTGCCAATCTTTTCTTTCTCTTTTTTTTTTTTAAAGATTTATTCATTTATTCATACAGAACTGGGGTACAGGCCAGAGATGCGGAGGGTGAGAGGATTCACCACAGACAGAGCGGGGAGCAGACCAGGCAGATCGACAAAGTACACTGCTGAGGGGAGCAGCGGGTGGGCCAGGAGAGGTCTGCCGCGCCATGTGGTCTCCTCCCGGGCAGGCGGGGATTGAACTCATGCGGAAGTGGCTTAAGCTTCTCAGTGCTGTGCTTTACCCCGCTGCGCCACCAGGGAGGGCCCCCACTGCCAACCTTACCAAAGCAGCATAGTGAGTCTACCAGGGACATTCGCTGACACTCAATGTCCTTGTTCAATGATTCTTTTTCCCTAAATGGGGAATTCATTATATTGTAAACTTTAGTGGGTGTTTCCACAAATTGGTCCTCTGCAAGAGGATAGAAAGAGTGGCAACAAAGTCAATGAAATTAACCTCAGGCATGAAAGGATTTAGAGAATATGTGAGTTTGAGAACCAAGGAGGCCCAAATAAGAGACAACTGCTCAAACCAGGTTGTTATGATGGTGGAAGAAAAAGCAGTAGACAGGGAAGATGTGTGGAACAGACTCCACAACGGCAGCTTCAAGACTGAACACAGAGGTTTAAAAGGCAGTTGAGAATATCAATCAAATCAACAGATGTTTATGAAGAATAAAAACATCTCTATGAAGCAGCTGAGAAATTCCTTGTGGTAGAGATTGTAGAAAACAACTATAAAATCCTTCAACAACACAAAGCAGAGGACGATGCTTGAGAAAATTATCACTTGCTTTCTTGGCACAAATGTGTTAATTAAAAAAAAACAACCTTAAATCAAATTTCCTTTGTCTTTATAGATCTATTTCCTAGACATCAGTTATAGAGACTGAATGCTACATTTAAAAACTAAAATGCAAACTATTACTGGGAAGAAAGTAGCAGAAAGATAAAAAGATAGTCATCTGGATTTATTCAACTCAGCAGGTCTTGAAAAACAGATTTTATGGGCTAATAAAAGCACCTTGGTATCAGCAGTGATCATGGCACTAAGACCTGGCATTGTACAGAGCAGGGACTCAGAAGAAGGGGCAAAGCATTGCATCTTAGCAATGATAAAAGTTTTACAATTCAGGATCTGGATTTTTCCTTTTAGTAAAAACTAAAACCATGAAGTATTAAAAAAAAACTCACAAAGAATTTGTGATAATGAAAATGTCTTTTAACATATTACCCTAAGAAATAACTGCACTTTTTTTAAAATAGGGCTTGAAATAGGTGATTATTATTAAATATATCTTTTCTTTCCCTATTTTGTGCACTACAAAAGTGAGGAGACTTTGTAAATAACCAATCCAAGTGGAAAATGTAATAGATAACTGTGCTGAAAAACCAGCATGCCTGTGAAGTTTATAGAGACATGCCAGGTCCTGGGAAGGCAAACAGTATGATGTTCTAGAATTCGGAAGTTCCTTGGAACTGGGAAACAGATACGCCACATTAACCTGCAAAGGAATGATGAGACATCACTTACACGGCTTCTTGGGGCATTTCTGGCACTTGTTAAAGCCCCAGGAGGTACCCACGGTTCCACAGCAGTCCTCCTGCTTTGAAAGGCCAGGGAGCGCTTTGCCACACTGCAATGATGAGGTGTGAAATATGAAGGTTAATTGAGTGCAGGATGCTCCACTTGAGAGCACTGCTGTGCTTCACAGTCACATTATAAAACACTTCCCTGGTTATTGACACAATTGGGAGGAGAATTCAGACTTCAACCCCAAACAGAACAGAACCAACATGGCACTGAGAGGAACAGGCCTCCTTGGCACTTTTAAAGTCTTCCGAAAACCAGTCACTGCTCACAGCACTGTATGAAACACAAGTTTTCAATGCCATTTTGTCCCTGGGAAGAACCTTAAAACTTAAAAGTTCAATAGAGGCTTTGAAACTTTCATTCAAACCATCTGTGTACAGCTCAGCTGCAGATTATCAGGTGACAGAACTGTAAGGATGTGGCCCATGTGTCAGTCTTGATCAGGTGGCACAGGTCCCATCCACAGAAGCTATGGTCTGAACAGGACAGGACAGAAAATGCTTCCTGGCTGAGCCTTGCTGGCTGGGGCAGAGACAAGTCTCCAGGCAGCCCAGCAGACAGGCGGGGGGGGGGGGGGGGCAGTGCTGAAAGCGAGTGAGCAAGACCAACAGGCAAAGGTTGCGGCTCAGGGGCGAATGGAGGGACTCCAGTTGTCAAATACCAAAATGTATTCCTCATCCTCCTGGTCAGGCACAGGAGGTCAGGAGAGGCCGAGAGGCGAGGCCTGGAGTTAGCCCAACTCGGTGGGGGTCAGAGGGGTCTGGACGATGGATCCTGCGTTTGGACCAATTCTGCAGCCAGCACACAGTGACTAGAGTCCTGTCCACGCTGTGCCAGCTAAGCTCAGACCCCACCCCTGAAGGGTCTCTTGACATCTATAAAACACCACTAAATGGTTTCCAGTGTCAACGTTCGAAAGACAAATTTGATCACATTCCTTTGCTGATCAAAACCCCCGGTATCTTTTCCCTGCCCGTCCCTCCTCATGGCCCAGAAGGTCATCCTCCATGCTCTCCACTCTCCCTAGGACTCTCCACCTCGTGACAGCCATTCCCTGGGCAAAGCCAAGGGCTCCCATTTTCCAAATAAAAAATCTCTCCTTTCCAAAAGCTGCTCCTTCTGCTTGCAATGCTCCTCCTTCTTCCTTTGCCCAGACAGTCTTCGTCCTGTGATGAAAGTTTCTCCAGGAAAGACGCCTCCTCTCTCCTCCTTTCTCTTTACAGCACTTTCTACACTTTCTACACCGCCTCTGTCATGCCATTAAGTTGAAAGCAGATGCATCTGATTTATCTCCTTATAGCGACACACAGTTCATGCCTCAAATGCCCAGTGGATGCGAAGAGGAAGCTCCGTGACCCGGGAGCTGAGCTCTGCGAAAGCCAAAGAGGACCAGCAAAGTCGCCTGGGCTAGGTAGCAGGAAGGGGTGACCTGAAGTCCAGGCAGGTGGTGGCCCCGAGGAGGGCAGCAGGTACCAGGCACCTGGCAGGCCTCCAAGGCAGAGTTTCAGTTCTGCTGGCCCCAGTCCGCAGCCTTCTGAATGAGGTTTTTGGTGACTACACATCCAGATTGTAAAACAAAACCAGAGATGGCCCGGTACAGTTAATGAAGTTTCAGTTACATCATAGCTTTGAAGTTTTCAGGGCTTGATGGTTTTTAATGATTTAAACAGGATGTTGTGTGCTTTCCAAAAACAGTGCAAGATGAAAGGGGGAGGGGAGATAGGAGAAGAGGGGAAAGGAATGAAGGGGTTGGGGGAGAATCTGAGGAAGAACAGCATATCTGGCTGGATTTATGCGGTTCCCGGGCACCCCTGCAGCTCAATAATTATGAGAAAGCGTGAATCTGAAATAGGAAGCATGGAAGAAGGAGCAGAACAGTGCTTCAGGCCTCTGCCTGTAATCGACACGATCATGCTAAGCTCACAGAGGTCCCTGCTGTGGCAGTCAGCTGCCAAGATACACTTCATGTTTACTTCTAGCTTTATCAAATTTATGGAAGACACCCAAGCCCATCCTATGTCTATCGCTCTTCGACCAGACTCATAAGTAAGCAAAACTCTCAACACTTGCTGATTTTTATATACTCAAACTTTGAGTAGCAGTTAAAATCCAATTTTCACCTTGGGCTCCTAGAAAATTTTATTTGGTAGGGCAAAAATAAATCATGTCTTTCTACCCGGCCTCCGAAAAGGTAAAAGGTTTTCATTACAGGATTCAGGCCGCTTTATCCCGTAGCTCTGTTTTTGCAGGTCCACAGCCAAGAGCAGCACCAGCCTTCCAAGCTGATTAAATAAATGGCCGGGTAGGTGGTGCCACGACACTGTGTGTTCTTTGCAAACTGGGGCTGCACAGCGTGAAAACAGGCTGCAGGGAGGGAGCAGTCTCATCAGGACACGCAAGGCTTTTGCATCTGCCCCTTAGGCTTTAATCACAAGAAGATTCCACTGCAGCAGAAACTCATCCACGGCTCTCACTCAAGAGACTCCATGTGACCCCTAGCCTGGACACAGGAGTCCCTATGGCAAAGAAAGGCAAAGAAGAATCTCCTCTCCTCCCACCATAAGCCACGCTGATGAGAGTGACATAGAACAGGATGAGGTCAGCATGCAGAAGGCATGTCCTTCTCTCGGTCTGGTAGACTCTGCTTCTCTTCCCTGAGACAATCACCTGGACAGACCGTCTAAGTGCATGTTAGACTCTACACACTGACACAAATGGAAGATCTCCAACATCAATCGTTATGGTGACATGTTCAGAGAAAACTTGTGTCTCATTTCAAGACCTATCATACATACCATCCATCAAGTAACTGTTAAATGTATAACCCAGTATGTAGCGATTTCCAGGCAGGAGGAAAAATCTATCACATCAAGTAAATCACCTGTGATGGCTCCTCCAAAGGTTCAAACAACTTTGGGCTTCAGGCGAGGGGTTACATGCCCAAGCCAGGAGTCACCAGAGGCAACAAAAGCAACCTAGAGCAGCACACAGAAGCAGGAAGGTGCAGGTAACCAGTTGCTATGAGAATCCCATGAAGAAAGTGAAGATGGTGAGACCACAGACAGTAAGCGCAACGTTCTTGCTTTCAGTTACTTGCACGGTGGAGTATTTTCAGGACTGAAGGTCCTCTTCCACATCACAGGAAGAGTGGCTTAACCCATTAAGCAGGTGACTCCAACTGTTAATGTTCCTCAACAGTGGAAGAAGTGCTGACACCTTCACTGGGAAGAGGCCGAGGAGCGCTCTGGGGCATACCCAGTGAGCAAAACAAACTATGTCTATGCTTTTGCCTGGTTAACTGTTGTTCAGTGTGTACATACTAACAGGTTCCATTACTTGGCTTAGGAACTGAAAGGGACCGTATCCTAGAGCCAACCTCAAGGCCTTCTGGTGCGCTCATGTCTAAATGAGGACCACAACAGGGCGGCTCTGCTTTTATCTTACTCCTTCCTCATTTCAATGTCTCCAGAGATGCTCCCCCAGTCTGAGCCTCTGCCGATAGGACTTACACAAACTGACCAGAAAAGAGAAAAACAAATGGAACTGTTCCCAGCCCCGATGTGTATCCTGGCCACGATTTGTAGAAAACGTGGTGCCCAAAGACAACTGTGGGCCCTTCCTATCGGTACTGTTTCTGGAAAAGCAGGCTATGCAAGCAGCGTCATAATTCCTCCACGAACAGCCACATTAGAACTTTTCAACCCAGAGTTGTTACAAGCAATGTTGTCAAATTTTGAAACTACATGTACATTAACAATGCAAGATACTGTACTTTTTTAGATTCTGACTCAATTGAGAATCTTTATCTGCAGGCCTCAACCTTGGTGCTTAAGTGATACCCTGGCCCTCTGAAACTCAAAACCAAGCTGTGATTCTACTTGTTTTTACATTTCTCTGTAAGGGTATGGGTGTGTTTTATGGCTTAATATGCTGCAATCAAGGCAGTTTTTGAGAGTCTCCACTGCAGTTGTTTCAGAGATGAATAACAACTTCAAGAGGTTGTGAGATACTGAAGTGTGACTTACGAAGATTTCATTTTCATACTAAAAATTACCAATACCCATATTACCCTCAATCTTATGAGTGTTTCCTACACTGTGCCAGTTTCTGGAAAAGAAGAATCCCGCAGGGAAGCAAAAAGCACTGAGCTGGAATCAACAGACCTGGATTGAGTCCCAGCCGTCTTTCAGGAGCGCTGAGATATTTAGCAGATCTTCCAACCTCTCTGGGCTAATCATGGGACCATGGGACAATCATTATGACATTAAGGGCTATGGTGAGGTTAAATGATACATGTCCCAATGGGGCTGCCTTGACCCCAGCAACTCCAAATTTGGGGATTAGCCAAGAATGAGCTTCTGGGATATGTTGTGCGCCTAGGACACAGCACTGGAAAGCAGGGTGCTGACGCTTTCCAGGCCTCACCCACTGCAGCCCACCAGGGGAATACGATAACCAAAGTCTAAGTGCTGCCGGTCAGTAGGCTTTTAGGTCACATTTATTTGGCACGTACAGACATTTCATTAGGGTCACTCCATGAAGATGGCCACCATGTCAAGGACCCATATGTAGACTCACCCTAAATACTCATAATACTGAAAATACTATTATGCAATGTCCCTGTCATAAAACCCACTTTAGTTCATTTTCAGACACCATTGTACAGTGAAACATATATTTTGAGTTTTAATCAAGAACAATTCTCAAACAGAACAAAGCACCAGAGCCAGAGAAACAAATAAGGATTAAAATAGTCAAGGCCTACAGATTTTGAAAATGCTCCTAGGGATTTCACTGAAGTAAAATGTGAACAAAGAGCGGAAACCCTTCAACTCGTGCAAATTTTTGAAAGCCTGAAGGGCTGTGTTTATATGAGAGCTGAAACAAGCAGACTCAGGGCTGTACTAGGGAGCGATGCCATAAAGATGGAGTAGCTCTAGAAAAGACAGTGACTACCCTCACTGGAAGAGCAGCAACCAGGGCAGGTGGCTAGGAAGGAGGTTAGGAACAGAGGGGCATAGACCAGGGAGGAAGGATGACAGA